CAGGTCATTACTACTTGTGTCCTATGAAACACTATGTAGCTGCTTTTAGAAATTGTGCAGCAAACTTCCTGACAAGCCTGTTTAGTGTAGTTGGTAATGTCACTGTGCATGAATCAGTGTTTTCCAAATGTTCATGTCTAGAAAGGAAACCAGGAAAAAAACTTATTTCATTGTTATGAAATTATTCAGTATGTCTTTCATTGAAAAAAAATATTCAAGCACAAGTTTTCTTCGAATGTAAAACAAATGACATTCCACTTAGATAAGAATGAAAACTGTTTAAATGCAAAATGAAACACCCATTATCAGCACTCTACTGTAATTTCAAAATATGCTATTGATTGTTTGCCTGTTAAGAACATACTGTGTAGGGAGATTTCTCTAACCTTTGTCAGCTGATCTCTACTGAAAATATTGATTCATGCAAATGTGTTAACATAATGAATTTTTCACCAAATTCAATTGGAATATGTGTTCATGGACCCAATACTCAATTGAATTTTACACGAACATTGTGATAAGAATCACATAACAAGTTAGGTTAATATTTCCATGAAATTGTTTTATTGACAAAACTCATTTTGGGTGCAGGTCCAAGATCAAGATGACATGAGAATGATTATAGTGAAAAGAAATACATATGATACCCATTCTATGCAATATGTTTCCCTTTGGGGCAGCTATTGGTTTTGTCAAGGCAGGCTTGGCATTGGCGTCATGCTTCTGTGGAAATGCGACACCCTGACTCATCTGTGACTCAGGGCCTGCTGCCATTCCATACTGTTTCACAACACCTGATTTACTCGCAGGCTTTCACATGTTGAATCTATACCGACTAGTTCTGACTGAGCAGAAATTAACAACAGTGTCAATCAAGAACATTTACTCTGGAACAATGATAAAGGACATCATATCTATTGCTATACAGTAGCCATCAGTTCTAGAGTATTCTTTCAACATACTGTGTATTCTTATCTATTGAAGCTTACTTGCTGAATCAATCAACATGTTTGATTTATAGACAGATAAGCATATGTTAGTAATTATGTATAATTAAAAGAAAGAGAAACAATATCTTGTAAAATATCTCAGAAAGATATTGATTTTGTACCAATGATTTATTAAAAACCAACATGAGTCAGGTTTTTTTCTGTGAATCATTAGCACTAGATTGTTTTGTTGGGATGATGAACAATATTATACCAAACTTATATTTCCTTTTTCACCCAAGAGGTTAAACAATATTTTACCCAATCATATTATCACTTTGCTCTCTTCAATAGTAATATCTTTTTGTTGGTAGATTTAGGAGCATGCCTGCAAGTGTTTTAACACACAATTGCCTTGTTATTCAGTGAATTGATATACTCATGAAATATATTAATGTATTACATATGTGTGATATTTAACCAATTATGGCATCAAATTTCAGTAATGAAATGGTATCACACACAGACTGCATTGTAATATGGAGACAATATAGATGTAGAATTGAGATTACCTTAGCCTCACATGGAAATGTCCATTCTCTACAACATTTGCATAATTAAATGATCATGTAAAAAGAGATCTTAATTAGTTTTTGTTTGACATGATATATGGATTTTATAATAAAACTTTTCTTTTTGAAATTAATATTCTTTTTTATGCTTTCCATAATTCACATATCAAATGAAAAGTCTTACAAGATCCTCCAAAACAGACGTTAATGTAAAGCTAGGAATTATCTTAAGAACATTTGTTGTTCTGTTGTAATGACAGTTGTTTTGTGTAAGAGGTTTTGTGTTCTGGTGGCTTACTGTAAAGCTTATGAGGAACACTAGTTTTATGTTATTGTGTAAGCGTCTGCTGAAGTGTCATGTTGTTGGAGTTGTAGAGACTATCCGGCTGTTCTCGGATGTTCTGTTTACCACATAGTCACTAGAACCAGACATTCTATTGATGTGGCACTTTGGATCCCTGCCCATGTCTTGGCATATGTGCTGTGCTGCAGATCTCTCAAGACAACATGAGAAGACTTGCTGCACCATCTACTGCAGGTTGACAGAGATTATATATGTGTGCTTGCAAGAATAATTCTATATTATTACCTCTGTCTGAGGCAAGGTAGTTGTATTCTCAAAGCCTGGTGGTGTAGTCTGCTGTCATTCAATATGATGGTAGAAATGGAGGATACACCCAATAACATTACAGATTCCCTGAAGCAATCCTAAAAAACTATCTGAATTTGAAATTTTCATTAGGTTGCACATTTAATGGTTACATGTAATCACGTGAGTCAACAGAACAACCAGAAGCATGGATTAAGCTTCAAGTCATATTGGATATTATCTCTTGGTTGATAATTACACCAACAATATTTGATGGCTTGCAGAAAGATAAGATATATTATTGCTAGAACAGAATTTGTTTGAACAGTTGTCATGACCATGCTGAATTTATAAATATCTGTCGGAAAATAAGGAAGGTAAAAAGAATAATTAAAACTTTTATCATTTCTTTTTGTAATATGATGTAAAGTAAAATTTGCAACAGTCATCTTACATTGTATTTCAATGAACCAAAGTTGTTCGTAAAACAGAAAAAGATTCTACAGAATCAAAAACAAGATTAAAAACAAGCTGTAAATTTATCAATAACTACTGATATTTTATTACCAGTCATCTAAAAAGACCAGCGAGTTCTGATTTTAAAATAGGTAATTAGGTCATCTGCCATTCCGTATCTATTAATAAAGTAATTTGTAAATATTCAGTAGTCACATAATCTAAGAATTGTTTCAGTCTTGAATTTGTTTCATTCATCCAAACCGAAAGTGTCATTTTATCAGTAGTTGTCTACCAAACTGACAGGTCAACTTTCAACAAAAATCAAGAGGTACAAAAAGAATTTACCCCTTCATGAGATCAGAAATGACATCCTAAAGATCAGTTTATTTGTTCCATTGTTGGGAGTACAAGTGACATTTACAAACCCAATGCATTAAGTTAGGCGACTTCTGACCACCAACAAGATGTACCAACAAAACAGTTGTGTGGAAGTTCCATGTACAGTTGGAAACTAGCCACAAACTGTAGCATTCCAGATAAAACTATGGAAATGCCAAAGCATATTGATTGATCAACTATGGTAGACGAAAAGGATACTGAATACAATGGTCAGATCATTTGAGATTTTGGAACTTTGCCCAAAACGTTTTCTCTCGGTGCATATGAGGGAGGATTTCAATAAAAACCCACATTATCTATAATTCATGTGCGCTAGTATTTCTACAATGTTATCCGTAGTGATGGGAATATGACAAATTCGTTAGACAGATCAGATGAGGCAGTTAATGTAGCAGGAAACAATAGTGAAAATGTTGGTCATAGTCAATTAGATGGACACATCAATAAAAAAGTAGAGATCTAGAATACACAGTAGTGTCACAACACTCTGGACCGGACAGAAACAGCTATGCAGCCATAGACTGTCCTTATACCTAGGTCAATAGCACTTGTGTATGTGCCTTATTGCTCCCCAAATCCCAGATGTGGAATGTCATCCTAGGGATGTGAGGACAACTTAATATCAGTCATAGGGATACCAGAATATATAGCATACTAGGGGCTTTTATTGGTCGAGATCTTCAACTTCCAACTTCAACTTCACTTTACATCATCAAAAAGGCACAGTTTTCATTGTGGCTACTTGCCATTTAATCTTGATCATTGCAATGCAAATGGGACACAAGAGAATCAACCTAGTTTTATTTGTAAAGACAGAAATCTATATGTATATTCTTCTGGCAATTTATTGGTTCTTTTGTCTGCACTGACAGAACTAGAATGATTCGTTCTTCTCTGATGAAATGTAACTAGATTGGGGACAAAAGCGTTTTTGTTTGATTGATTTTGCGTCTTTGTCAATCAACGCTACATCAAACAGAAACAAAGTCAGTCATTAATTTCTGAATAGAATCAATGATACTGTGATCAGCATTGCATAAGACCTCTCATAACTTATATTTGTGTTGAATATTACCTTCTTCAGCATAATATGTAACAAGCTGTTTACTTTGTATCCTAAAGTTGATTGAAGATCTCAGATGTGAGGTTTATGTTTCTAGGAAAGCTTAGGTTATGGTCCACTTTGTGCCTTTGTCAGTGTTTCCTTTGACACTCCCATCAAGTGATGTATCTATTAGCTACAGCTGTAAGGAAACTGGTTGTTCATGGGTGGTTAAACCTGCAAGCTATAAACAAAATGAAGAATTTGCTAATAGCAAAAATAAAAGTTAGAAATTTGCAGGTACATATGATTGATTGTTTGTATGGGTACCTAGTATACTGTAGATAAAGACTAATCAATACTCTGTAGTTCAACTGTACACTGGCAATTACTTTTTTTTTTAACTTGACATGAAACCTTATGAAGACAGAATCTGTCAAATCTTTATTCTAATATATTGAAACTTGTATGTTATTTGGCTGATTAAATTCTGAAAAGTCATTTGAGAACCAGATTATGTAAACAAGTGTTAAGAAAAATCCAGTGATTACCAGCATTTTATATTTAATGCTGTTTCATATCTTAGATCAATAGAATAAAGTTTCTACTGACTACATCTCTGTATAATACATATTGAATACTAATATACTGTTTCTATAGTTACTCTGAATAATACATATTTAATACTAATATACTGAATAATACATATTTACTAATATACTGTTTCTATAGTTACTCTGAATAATACATATTGAATACTAATATACTGTTACTATAGTTACTCTGAATAATACATATTGAATACTAATAAATTGTTTCTATAGAACTAATATACTGTTTCTATAGTTACTCTATAAAATACATATTGAATACTAATATATTGTTTCTAAATTAATACTGACATACTATTTATTAATACTGACATGTAGATTCTGATTCTATTATTATCACTGATATCTTACTAACATGCTCTCTCTTTTGTTACTAATCCTGTTCTTTTAAATCAACAGTTTGCAGTAACTGGCTGAACATATTTTCGTGTATGCGACATACAGTTCCAAAAAAGCCAGCTATCCACCCACAGGTTCACCCGAACAAACGGGCGTTCGATGCTATAATTGTATGGAAGGGGAAAGGTGAAAGTCAGTACCGTTTCACACTCAAGTCTTGCATGTCATTGACGTGCAAATTTGGTGTTGTCTTGTGAGTGCTGTATTTCATTTTAATTTTGATAAGAAGAATCGGTTTATTATGTGAAGTTTGTCTACATTAAGTTTGCTTATTTTTCATTGTAGGTAGATTTGCTGTCTTTTTTATGCAATATGTGTATTTTGTTTGAGTTTTGCTGTTCTGTGTTGGGTTCATAAAAAAATGAATTCCGATTAATTAAACAACATGCAATTTGATTTTATTCTTGTTTAGAATCTACAGTTTTATGAGTTGGTAGCAACTTGGTATATTTTTGATGTATTTGTAAATTTGCCTTGGGAATATTGAAACCATGAATCCCAGCTGAGTTAATAAACTTGTTGATTTTTCTGAAAAAACACCAGCCTGTAACATTATTTGATTTAAGAGATCCCTGGATAGATCACATCAATATAGAAAGCAGATTATGGAGTTGTTGATATTGTTTAAATCTCCCAAATAAATACATTTGAAAGTATCTGAGTTTGATTTCAGATAAAGTATTAGCAGTAACAGTATGCCCTCTTCTATTCTATGAAACTTATCTGTGATAGGTCAGGCTGGTGTGATCAGATGGGAAGTTTGTTTATCTGTGATAGGTCAGGCTGGTGTGATCAGATGGGAAGTTTGTTTATCTGTGAAAGGTCAGGCTGGTGTGATCAGATGGGAAGTTTGTTTATCTGTGATAGGTCAGGCTGGTGTGATCAGATGGGAAGTTTGTTTATCTGTGAAAGGTCAGGCTGGTGTGATCAGATGGGAAGTTTGTTTATCTGTGATAGGTCAGGCTGGTGTGATCAGATTGGAAATTTGTTTATCTGTGATAGGTCAGGCTTGTGTGATCAGATGGGAAGTTTGTTTATCTGTGAAAGGTCAGGCTGGTGTGATCAGATGGGAAGTTTGTTTATCTGTGAAAGGTCAGGCTGGTGTGATCAGATGGGAAGTTTGTTTATCTGTGAAAGGTCAGGCTGGTGTGATCAGATGGGAAGTTTGTTTATCTGTGAAAGGTCAGGCTGGTGTGATGGGAAGTTTGTTTATCTGTCAGGCTGGTGTGATCAGATGGGAAGTTTGTTTATCTGTGAAAGGTCAGGCTGGTGTGATCAGATGGGAAGTTTGTTTATCTGTGAAAGGTCAGGCTGGTGTGATCAGATGGGAAATTTGTTTATCTGTGAAAGGTCAGGCTGGTGTGATCAGATGGGAAGTTTGTTTATCTGTGAAAGGTCAGGCTGGTGTGATCAGATGGGAAATTTGTTTATCTGTGAAAGGTCAGGCTGGTGTGATCAGATGGGAAATTTGTTTATCTGTGAAAGGTCAGGCTGGTGTGATCAGATGGGAAATTTGTTTATCTGTGAAAGGTCAGGCTGGTGTGATCAGATGGGAAATTTGTTTATCTGTGAAAGGTCAGGCTGGTGTGATCAGATGGGAAGTTTGTTTTCTGTGAAAGGTTATCTGTGAAAGGTCAGATGGTGTGATCAGATGGGAAGTTTGTTTATCTGTGAAAGGTCAGGCTGGTGTGATCAGATGGGAAGTTTGTTTATCTGTGAAAGGTCAGGCTGGTGTGATCAGATGGGAAGTTTGTTTATCTGTGAAAGGTCAGGCTGGTGTGATCAGATGGGAAGTTTGTTTATCTGTGAAAGGTCAGGCTGGTGTGATCAGATGGGAAGTTTGGTTGATGCATGTATTATATTTATTTTCTGATTAGCTGATGACTCTTGATGTACATATTTTCTGCTTTTTTCAAATCTTAATTATTCTCCTCTTTACATAATGGTACATAAATGTGTGTTTATGCATGTGCATTTGGAATATTCCCTGTAAATAGGGAAAATATTGTCAAGGGAAAGTGAAAAATGTTATTGAAATGAATTTTTCTTACCAGATACATTTTTTGGGGAGTTGATTGAAGTTAAGTATTCTGCATGAAATGCATTAAAAAGCACAAGAAGATTGCTAACTTAAAAATACAGTTTCAAATTTGATCATGTAGTGTATATAGAATTAAAATAAGATCAGAACAAGTGATCAAATGCAGAAATTAATTAGTCAGTAATGGATGAATAATTTTCTAGTTTTATTCCCCATTTTCTTTGACTCTACATACCCAATTTTTCATGTCATTTCTTTAAACCTTATTTATGTGTCTACAACAAATCTGACATCAATGTATATGTTGATGCACAGAAGGAACCAAAGAGAGCTATGGAGGTGTGGCCTATGACTACATCCTGAAACCTGCCATGGAGGCCTCATCCAGACCTGTCTCACCACCCAAAGAGAAAGAAAGACCACTTACACATGATCAAATTGTCAGAAAACTAATGAAAGCTGAAGAAAGGAGACAGGTATATATTTACAAGTTGTCGTGTTAACTTTTCATGTCTCATATTTTAAATTAGATATTGTAACTTCATGCTAGGAATAAAAATCTACAGACAAGGTAGGTAAGTATGTTGGAATACCAGTTATATTGCTCATAACAAAATGCAAAGGTAGTGTTTTGCCTATAGCAAAAGGTCTAAACTCTGCAGTAAAACTAACATTAAAAAAATTATATTAGCACATGTGAAAGATATCAGCAAGGCCAGAATTGGCAAAATGACAGCATCAAGTAAAGTCTGATTACTAAAGACCAGCCCGTTTCATCACCTTTGATAATTGTCATTATTGACTTAGGCTCCTTGAACTGATCACTACAAATAGAACTGTTCAACAAAAAGACTATTTAATTCTATGCAGATATTTTATGTAATCCTGAATGGACATGAAGAAGATTGTATATAAGTGTAACACTGTCAAGTTGCTTAGTTTTTAATTAGAAGTTTAATACTCTTGACATCAGCTAAAAGGTCATTTGGACACAGTGTTACTCTCTAAGTTCATGTCCATCAACTCCAAGGCTAAAATTAAGTTATTATGTCATTTCATCTTATGGGTCATGATGACCTATAGCCATTGTGCTTCATCCATCATTGTCAGTCATGCAAAAACTTTTGACATTTTAAATTTGTTCTAAAGTTCCACAAGTGGGATTGAGCTCAATCTTATCCTGAGGTGGTCCCGACCAAATGTTGTTATTTTTCAGGTATGTCTGAAATCCAAGATGGCCAACATCTTGAAACTTCTCTTTTAAACTTCTCTAGTTCCACTGGTGCCATTGAGCTAAAAATTGGTGGTAATGTTAAGGAAAGGTAGCCAACAAAGTGTTGCTATTTTCGACCTTGTTAAAACTTTGATATGGCAGTCAGGGAGGTCATTTTGTAATGTGATTGTGTAATCGTGGTTTTTCTGCACAACACCTATTTTAAACTTCTCAAGTTTCACCAGTGGGATTGAACTCCCAACGTGTCTGAAATTATCCTGAGATGGTCCTAACTAAGTGTTGATATTTTTTGGGTTAGTCTGAAATCCAAGGTGGCCGCCATGGTCGCAATAGCCACCATCTTGAAACTTGAAAAACATATTCTAAACATCTCCAGTTTCAGTGGTGCCATTGAGCTAAAAATTGGTAGGGATGTTAGGGAAAGGTAGCCCACAAAATGTTATTTTTTGCTGTGTCAAAGCTTTCACATGGCAGCCAGCTGCAGCTTTGCCTTCAGAAAGGAAACTGACTCAGATTTTGGGTTGAATGCTGTCTGAAAACTTTACTACTAATAGGTAACACTTGTTACAGTTACCTACTGCTCACCAAAACTACTATCTACAACATGGGAAACAGCTTCTTAGTAAGATTTCATTCAAAGTAGAAAAAAATAACTCTTCTCCCTGCTGAAAGATTTTGTAGTAGGATGACCATTAAAGCCCATAGGCCTCTGGTTGTTAAGAGAAGTCATTAGGAAAGAGAAAGATATGAAGATCATCAGTTTTATATGGCCAGCTTTTACAATAATGCCAAGGAACAGCTCTCAGTCTATATATACCTCCAGAAGTTAAAGCCTAAATGGGTGAATGGTTCAGATAAAGCAGATCAGACTATTTTGTTAAATACCTTGGTGCTTAGAGGTCAGAATATCAGGGTTTGTAGAAGAGTTACAATGTAGGGTCTGTGTATGTTTCTGGCATCATGATATATATGGTGTACTTTTTTTTAAGTGTAAAATTCCAAGATTAAGACAGACACCAGCACCACTCTTTAACCAACCTTTATATTTTAATATGTTAAATAATGAACCTCTCGGTGGTCTACATTGTCATAAGTATCATATATTGACATTTAACGTCTGCTCTTAAAACTTTTTATGATTCAATGTGCTGGTGGAGATATTACTTTTTATTGGTGAAGTCTACCCTGGTTTTTATATGATTGATGTTTTATGACAGTGAGATTAGCATGCTTCTGTCAAAAGCTGCAAATAGAATAATATAGTGTGTCACAAGTATGACTAGTGATCATGTTTAATTCTGTATTGCATCACTTTTCTATCTACTTTATAGTCCATAGAGGCACAGAAAGTGGAATTTGCTGCACGAGAGAAAACAAAAATCCAAGAAGTAATGTCAAAATCGATGGAACAGGAGGAGCAGTTTGCCAGAGCTGCACACGACAAGCTACGTAGGTCTATGGAAATCACAAAGGAGAACCGCAAACTCCAAATTATGGCTCTTCAAGACAAGCTCCGAGATCATGTACGTTATTACCACAACTTCATTTGTTTGTTAGATATCTTGATGCCTTTCAGCTGGTTGGATAGTTTCAGATTTTACCATTAACTATATTAGAATTACTGTTTTATATGGTATTCAACTTCAATCTTCCCCGTCTAACTATAATACTGATCATTTACGGTTAATGAGTCGCATTGTTGTTCAAGATATTCCAAGCACATTCTGTCAAAGTATTACATAATATATGTATGAGAAAATTATAATGAGTAAAACACATACAAAATGATGTGGAAGATTTGACTCTCAGTAGACTGGATGTTGTTTTAGATATTGATGTTGTCTTTGATTTGTGTCTGATAACAACAGTTGGCCAGGGTGGAAGAAGTTTGTAAAAATAGTGACAGTATGGCCAAAGATCTCAGCTTAAAAGAAAAAATTGATCAGAAACTTGAAGCAAAAGAGGAAAACCGTAAAGCTCAACTGCAAGCCTTGCTAGTCCGCCTCAAAGATCACGTAAGATCAGTGTTTGCCTGTCAGTATGATGTTCTGGAGTTTGGGCATGGCTTGTCATTTCACAAAATATCCTGGCATGTTACTTTGGAGAATCAGTCAAAAAATTATATTTCTCCTGTACGGTGTTAAGCAAATCAATCAAACATATGATTCAGAAGAAAAACATTTCATGTACTCGAATGTATACATACAGTGCTTGTTACTATAGTAGGTGTGAAATGACCTGATTGGCTGAACAGTCCTCATGCCCATTCTCTCTTCATCACCTTTGTGTTTTATTCTGTTGGCTTCTTATCTATCATTCTCATTATTTTAGAATACATTGATAAATATATTTTCATGTGAAATGATAGTTTTATTTCCCACAAACCATCCTTTAGTACATTAATATCTAAATTAAATTGCTGTTTAAAGAATGCTTTTCTGAATATCATGTATAATTGTTTGATTCAAATTTTCACATATTTTAAAATCATAGAAGCTGTTTGAGATATCTATCTCCCTAATCCTTTTTATTTTTCTGCTTGTAAACCTGTCATTTTTAACTTATTGTTCTGTGTATCCTTGTCCTCATGTCACTTTACTCTGGTGTGTCTTCTTTCTGATTTCACCAACATAGAGGAAGAAATTTCCTCATATCTGGCCATTTATTACAATTAGAAGAAAAGTTATTTCAGGTATAATTTTCAAAGGCAAGTGCCCTTTCATCATTTCATGCCAAAGTGAGGCTTCCTGTTTTTGACTTACATTGTTGTAAAATAGAGCAGAAGATTACACTTCATAAAATTTGGTTGTCATTACCGTACATAAATTTTCTGTTGCTAATTTCTGTCGCATGGACTGTATTTGATAGGCAAAACATATTGAGGATGTTTGCAAGGCCAGTGAGAACATCAACAAAGCACAGGAAGAGAAAATGATAAACAAGATGGAAAATGCTCTAAGGAACCGTGAAGAGCACTTGCGAGCACTGCAAGATCGGCTCAAGGAACATGTAAGATTGAGGACTATCTGTTTTTGGTGTGGGCTTCAAGTCTAGCTTTCAATTTTATATGAGAAATGGGAAATAATTAGTGAATACAATGCTGAACGGCCAACTGTTGTTTGTGGTGGTGACTTGGATTGTTTTGTTTTAGAAAAATACATGAGCATGCTGTTGTAAACTTTTATACACTTAAAATTTTCTAACTTTTTTCATGTTTGTCTCCTTTATTAGAATGAAACAAATAATGAAAGGTTTTTTCTTTTCTTTTCTTTATTTTTTAATTTCTTATTCAGTAAGATAATTCTGGTATTTTAGAAATTAGTTCTTGACTAAGTATTCCCATCAAATATGGAAATATTCTTTAATGGAAAAAGAGAGAGAAATTTAAGTTTGAAAAATTGTTATAAGACATTGATGATAGAGAAAAACATACAATATTGAAGGAGACAAACTCAAAGATATTTGAAACTATTTCTCACAATGCAATAAAATATTTTCACTGTTGTTTTCCAGGAGCGTAAAATTGAGGAAGTCCGGAGGAACAAACTGAATTTACAGATCACCAATTCTGACTAAGGGGTATAACCCCTACCTATCTACCCCGCCCTTTTACTCTGCCCTGTGTTCACGGTGTCGTCAAATGAAAGGACAAAGAACAATGTCTGCACAGTTTTATGGATTATTTATCTACATTAAACCAACCTTGTACTGTTTTTGTGAGAAAGTGTGATTGTCAGTTTTCATGTTGATCTCCCTGGATGTTAAGTTTTGTTTAAATGCATACCTCTTTATCGTACACAGTATTTTCTCAATTTATTGGCAGCTTCTATTTTAAATTTTTTTTTTTTTGTTATATTTTCTCTGTTGAAGGCTTTTTGGCAATATTTAAATTTACATTGAGCATTTTCATTGGTTGCTGAGTATTCATGTGAACAGAGTTTTATTTTGTACTACAACCAGTTAAGAATCAAAATGCTGACTACATGTCAAAGTGATTTACTGCAGTAACACATTGGTATCAAACTGGTTGAGTTATTTTGAAACCCTAGTCATATGGAAATGTTTACGTTTAAACATCATATATTTTGTACTTTTTTTGTTATCAGTTTACATTCCATGTCATTGATTTCAGGTTTTCATTTCTGATTATTTTTTTACAAAAGCACAGCATTGAAGTCATCTGATTTTTGTCTCAGAGATGCACCCCATCATCAAGCAGTTTCACATTGTTTATTTAAAAGCATCTTTCCTCTTCAACAGTATTTTTGATTTTGAGTTGTGTGTAACCTGCACTGATTACGAAATATAATCAAGTCTTTGTTGTTAGTAGTAGTTAGTGCAGCGATTTGTGTGAACGATTACTTCCTCTAGAAAAGACACATAGAGAGTCTATAACTAGAGTAAAGAGAGTAACCTTGTGTATGTAAACACTTGCAAAGTTTTTTTTTCAGAATTCTTTTTCTTCTTAATTGTTTTCTGTCTCCAGAATAAATACAAATAAATAGAGAATCAAACGCATTCTGAGAGTGATCATTCAGAAGACATTAGGTCATTGTCGTGTTTTGGTAATGGAAGATACAACAAAGTGTTTATTGTTAGTGACTATGCAATTCTGGAAGTCTGACCAATAATTTCAGTCCTACTGGAACAGAAAGATTGAAAACAAAGGCTGTTATTAATTAAGAATGAATTTGTTGTTGGATTCTGTGTGTTCTTTATCAGTTCGGTTTATAGACAGTGCCAGAAGTTGTTATTCAGAAGCTGTTAGGTTCTCTTTTATGTTACAACAATAATAAAACTTACTTCTCCGAAAGGATATAATGTATAACATAGTAATAGTACTTACCAGGGGTAGTTGTAGTGTTTGTTTACCAGCTGAGTTTGGGTAGGCCTAACAAATGTCGCCAAATATTGATAACAAAATCTTAGTATTTTCTTAAATGAAATATGCTTAAGTTAGGCAGAAAAACAAAACTAGAATTTAATTAGTATAAAATATTGACATTTTCCAGATACCTAATTGCGCAAGGTTGGCATGAGAAAAGACACTGAGTATAGAAAGACTAGTGCTGGATAGTTAAATGGAGATACTCAAGTGCTGAATCTGTAAATAGCTGTATACAAATAACAAGTAGTAGCTTAGTGTCTGGTAGTTAATCTCTTGTATGTTTATTTGCACTAAGCAATGCATACCAGTTTGTACAGTTCCTCTCCATATAGGCAATATCCTAGGTTAGACAGTCAATCATAACAATGAATGGTGCTTTTGCTGTGTACAGCTCAAAAAGTGGTGTAAACGTAATTCCTTAGAGCAGAAGAACTTTTAGCATCAACATCAAGTGTGGACAAGTTTGTGTTACGATAAAATTCTGCACAATGCACGAAAAAAACTGCATGCAAATAAATGTTTGATGAGAAATATTTCTTGTCAGCAACTGTGTTAGAATGTTTTCACCCTGTACAAGTTTAGTGCTATTGATCAAGTTGGTGTTTGGGACCAAAACAAAACCATGACTGCCATGCATGTTAATACTATGTATGTTTCAACACTGTTATGTATCCTCCGTGTAATCTTCATACTCCATGTAACAGTATCACAGTTCATAGGTATTGTTTTGTGTGTGACTTAAAATTGCCAAGTTACTATACTGTACTGTGTCAAATTTTTGTGCCATTGATGGTGAGAATTGTCATGTTGATGGAAAATTTGTAGACATATAATATATTTCTTCATCAGTATAGCTTAATTGTGACAATTTTGCTTCCAGTTTTACATTTCAACTTCATGGAGAATTTCATCTATACATGTATGTACATAATGAGCTTATAATACTAGATTGATAGTGGACAACTATCTTAGAAGTATGTATCATTGAGTGGTTCCAGTATCATCCTGTTGCTTTTCTAGCCATTTGTCTTCATTCAATTAACAATTGATATTTAATTATCTTCTAGTCAAATCCATGTTATCTAAAACTGTTTGTTTGACAATCTTGTGTATTTCTGTTTCATATTGATAGCTTGGTGTTACGGGTGTAGCTTCAATATAAGGAACTTCCCCACAACATGAACATTTTATCGAAATGTAACAAAACTTGTGTTAGGAAGAACTTTGGAGTTGGGAGTGCCAAGTGCTACACCTGTAACAATAAATTTATAAAGATGTAACCACAAGTTGCTAAGTATGCTTGATAGCAAAACGAGTCGAGCCGACAGAATGACACCATCAAATGGCGGTATTCAGATTGTCCTGTTCAAAGTAATTGTTCTATGGCATGCAACTTTGTGTCTAACTGTAAGACTGCAAATTACAGTCCTGTTCACCAATAGATACAATTATTTAGCTTTTGTATGTTTGTATTTTTTGCCGAAATTATCTCTTTTTCTGTAATGATCAATAAAACGCTTAGTTTATGAAAGTCTTTGTTTCTTATTTCTGTCATAAACAGCTGGACAAGATTTATGTGCATATTTGCAGTAAGACACTGGGTCTTAAAAGCAAATGTGATACTTCTCTGCTAAATTATGTATTTAGTCTTAAGTGTCTCAAGTTGTCAGTTCTCATTAACACGACTTGTACTGATAATTAGCAAAAGTTTTGCTGTTGCAGGTAAAATTTTAGAATAATGCTGACTACTCAAAAGTACAACCATCTTCTCATTGTTACTGGTACCTTCCGGAGACCACAAAAATCGCCCCATGTACGAGTTTGTTTCAATCCTCCAAGGTCAAAATAAGACATTTTCAAGAGATGTAAAATTGAGCTCTCCATCCATCTAGGGCAGCTTTTCTGAGCCACAATTTAAAAACTAGATTTATGAAACATTTCGGTGTAGTGCTGTAGTTGTGTGTAATAATGAAAACTAAAGACTTATAGCATCTATATTAACTTACTATAAGGTAGATGTGACTATTGAGATGTTTCTACCAACAGCTAGGTACACAGGTGTCCTGAGATTTTAAGGTGTGTTAACTTCTCTACCTTACATACTTACTATAAGGTAGATGTGACTATTGAGATTTTTCTACCAACAGCTAGGTACACAGGTGTCCTGAGATTTTAAGGTGTGTTAACTTCTCTACCTTACATACTTACTATAAGGTAGATGTGACTTGAGATGTTTCTACCAACAGCTAGGTACACATGTGTCCTGAGATTTTAAGGTGTGTTAACTTCTCTACCTTTACACACCTCTACTACATCCAAGTGTGGATTATTACCCACCATCATATGTTGATGGACTGTTCTAATTGCTCTTCATCTGTAGTCTATTGTCCGTCTGGCTGTCTGTAATTCTAGAGACTTTTAACTTCCACAGGTGTATACACGTACAAATAGTGCTACTACCTGTATGTAATTCAGTACACCCGTCTCTTTAATCATTATTTGATATTTACCTTCGTTGTCGGTACTCTTGTTTCTTTAGAAGTACTGAATAAATCATTTTCAAATTTCCAGTGTAGATTCCCATTCATTCTTTGTTCTCCAGAATGCATTCTCATGTTAAAGGGGAAAACAAAATGACCAACAAGCAACCATCTTCGCTTTTGACAGTCGAATTTTATTAGTTATTTTTGGAGAAGGATGGATCCTTCCAAAAGAAATGTGTATATGTAGGTTCCCTTTGGCCCATTGTTGCGTTCTTTAAATTGTAGGAATGGTCAGAAAAATAACTGACGAGTGGCTATCTTGGATTTTGTCTTTGTAATTTTCTTAATATTTTGATTTCTTGGTAAGTGCAGATTATATTCCTTTTGATTCTGGGCATGATCAGAGAGATAAAATGGCCGACTGGCAACCATTTTTGATTTTAACCCATGAAAATTTATTATGGCAATTTCTTAACAAGTACTGGATTGATTTTTGTCAAATCTTTTAAATCGCTTCTCCTTTGTCTCTAATTGTGCTTTTCTGATTTTGGGAATGATCGGAAAACCAAAATGTGGGATTTGACATATGGTTGATAGTGGGAACGTTAAGAATTGAAAAGATCAAAATAAAGCCCAAACAATATTCGGTGCCAAGGTCCCTCTCGGATCTGTTTGTATTTTCCAAAGCCAACCATTTCACTTCTAGTGTTAAAGGTATATTGTATTAGTCCTGTCCCTCCAGTTTGTAGGGAAGGTGGACATATAGCGTTAATCTTGTCCCTCTGTCTCCGTCTAGAGAACTTATTGTATTTGGTTCATACATACTTGCAAAATGTCATAATATTATGTTCTGCATCCTATTTTAAAGTTTTCAAGGTTAAAGGGGTCTAAGGTCAGCCTGACAACCTGTGAAAATCCAATGCATAGAATCAGGACATCCTTGCATGTCTTAGTCTCTAGTTTTATATCTGTTCGATTGAAACGGAGAATTGGTGCATTTAAGTATCAATTTAGTAAGGACTCTCGTTGAAATGGTTTTCTATATAAACTTAGCTATATGTATAGCTTAGTATGTACTAAAACATCAGTTCTTTTATTGTTTAGAAATCACGTTGCTTCTGTCATAACATGAACTAGATGGAACATAGTAACATCGCCCAAGAGATCGACGTTCATTATTGCTTACAAGCTACAGTGGATTTTGATTAACTACTAACTCAACCTGCCTTAAGATTGTCAGATTTCAGAATACCTTTAGATGTCTTTACAGACAGACTTTGTTCAACAGCAGAATGATACAAGTTTGGATTTAGTATTTCTTAAACGTGAAGTCTGACATTAAGGTTGTTATAGCCAGAAGAATGGTTTTTGTTGATGATTAAAATAAAGAATGATGGAGTGGATTTGGAAGAAGATTTCCAATTATGCTTAACACGTAAAAATA